AGCCTCTTGATGAAAGTGAAAGAGGAGAGTGAAAAAGTTGGCTTAAAGCTCAACATTCAAAAAACTAAGATCATGGCATCCGGTCCCATCACTTCATGACAAATAGATGGGGAAACAGTGGAAACAGTGGCTGACTTTTATCTTTTTGGGCTCCAAAATCACTGCAGATGGTGATTGCAGTCATGAAATTAAAAGACGCTTGTTTCTTGAAAGGAAAGTTATAACCAACCTAGACAGCATATTAAAAAGCAGAGACATTACTTCATCAACAAAGGTCTGTCTAGTCAAAGCTATGGTTTTTCCTGTGGTCATGTATGGATGTAAGAGTTGGACTATAAAGAAAGCTGAGCACCAAAGAATTGATGCTTTTGAACTGTGGTGCTGAAGATGACTCTTGAGAGTCCCTTGGACTGCAAGGAGATCCAACCAGTCCATCCTAAAGGAAGTCAGTCCTGGGTATTCATTGGAAGGACTGATATTGAAGCTGAAACTCCAGTACTTTGGCCACCTGATGCGAAGAGCTGACTCATTTGAAAAGACCCTGATGCTGGGAAGGATTGAGGGCAGGAGGGGAAGGGGACAACAGAGGATGAGATGGTTGGATGGCATCACCGACTCAATGGACATGGGTCTAGGTAAACTCCGGGAGTTGGCGATGGACAGGGAGGCCTGGCGTGCTGTGGTTCATGGGGCTGCAAAGAGTCGGACACGACTGAGTGACTGAACTGAACTGCAAGTGCTTAGTGGGATTTCCCAGGTGGTTCAGTGGTAAAGAATCCACCTGCCAATGTAAGGGACATGGGTTCAGTTCCTGGTTCAGGAAGATCCCCTGGAGAAGGAAATGGCAACCTACTCCAGTTTTTCACTTTTCACTTCATGGTACTCGAGTTCCATACTATACAAACACTGTACTAAGCACTTTGTTATTGTTGTTTAGTCACTCAGTCATGTCTGACGCTTTAGAGATCCCATGGACTGTAGCCCACAAGGCTTCTCTGTCTATGGGATCTCCCAGGCAAGAATACTACAGTGGGTCACCATTTCCTCCTCCAGGGTATCTTCCCAAACCAGGGATTGAAACCACCTGTGAAGCCCCACTAAGCACTTTAAGTACTCTAAAAAAAAAAAAAATTTTTTTTAATTTTCATGGAAAACGAAAAGATAGAGTAGATACATTTTATATTATTTTACAAAGTAAGAACTTAACCTTAGGAAACATACTTAAAAGTCATACAACTAGTAAATGATGGTTTGTTCAAGGATCCCAATTTCAGTCTGATTCCAAATCCCATGTACATCCTTCTCCTCCACACAATCTCCCACTTTTCTTCACCCTGTCTGCAGTTTTCCAGGATGACTCAGCTCATTTCCAATCTCCCAAAGGCTTAAGACTTCTCGATTCTCTCCACAGTCATAGTCACGCAGCCTGTCCTGCAGCCCCTGACTTTTTCTACTAGCACACTGCAGGGATGCTCAGAGACCAGTCAGTGTGACTCCAACAGCAATAAGTTCATTAGTTAATCAAAATTAAAACTTTAATTCTGGCATGAAAATATAGGGAGAGATATTCTGAACAGACGGGCACTTAAATATAGGACAGTACTTATTCTCTGAAAACAGATTATCTGGATTCAAATCCTAGCTCTATCCTTACCAGTAGTAGAAACTTATACAAATTAGGTAGATCTCTATATCTTAATCTCCTTATTTGTACACTGAAATCACAAACAAACTTCTCTCCTAAGGTTGCTGTGAAAATTGAATGCATTAATGTATGCAAATAGCTTGAAAGAATGCTTGGCATATAATGTGTGTTCAAGAAATGTTATTTTATACTATGGCAGTTTCAAGAATATTTTTACACTGATAAATGGCAAACTAATACTCAGAAAAAGATAGAGACAAAGCCTCTCCATTATTTACCAAATAACTAAACATTGGATACTAACTGATATCACCCTGTTTTTTATGTTATTGTTACTTCTTTATCAGTGACAGCTCCAGCCCTAATTTAACCCTCCTACCTACTAATTAAAAATTTGAAGAACCCAATTAGGGTTAGGGTACCCCAATTAGAGTCAAAATGTTCCTTCTTGACAACACCGAGTTCTGAACTGACTCCATTTCTCTATCTTCCGAATTATCCATCAAACCCTTTAAGATGCCCCTCCCAAGTTCCCTTTACTGGGACGCGTGAGGTTCTCTGGAGTGTATTGTCCCTGCTGCATAAAGTTAAATAAACCTCACTTTAAAAAATTCTTGGTGTTTTTCTTGGTGGCATTTGGTTAGTGGGTTCAACAAGTTAGGTCAAATATTGCTTTCTCCAGTTCAGGAAAGGAGACAGGAAAATATAAAACTATTACTTTTTAAAAAAATCTATGTTCCAACTGGGGTTTCTCTTGCTATATCAATTTATATTTCTGGGTCTACGGGTTTTCATCTAATAAGTAGTAAAAGAACAATGATTTATACTATATCCCCAAGCATTCAGCATAATGCCCAGCACATGGTATAAACTCAATACATAGGTATTAAACAAATGAATTAATGAGTGCTCGCTTCGGCAGCATATACAAATGAATTAATGAGAGATTAGAGTAAAACTCACTTTGCATGAAAGGGGCCACTGGAAGGCTCTGAAATTAATGCAAGGGTTTTAAGGATTCATATATAAAGCAAGCATCATCAGTAAAAGCTAATATTATGTATACAGACATGTGTAGTTCTGTCCTAATATATACATGTGTGCATTTTTTAAATCTGTTGAATACTAATTGGTTTCTGCCATGAATGCATGAATGCATGCTAAGTTGTTTCAGTAATGTCAGACTCTTTGCGACCCCGTGGACTGTTGCCCACCAGGCTCCTCTGTCCATGGGATTCTCCAGGCAAGAATACTGCAGTGCGTTGCCATTTCCTACTCCAGGGCATCTTCCCAACCCAGAGATCAGACCTGTGTCTCTTGCATCTCCTGCATTGGCAGGTGGATTCTTTACTAGAGCCACCTGCTTCACAACTTCTTTTAGCATAAGAACTCCTTTTAGTCTTAAATTATTTTGAATCTTTTTATGATGTTAATGTTGTTGTTCAGTCACTAAGTTGTGTCTGACTCTTTGCAACCCCATAGACTGAAGCACACCAGGTTTCCCTGTCCTTCACTGTCTCCTAGAGTTTGCTCAGATTCATGGTCGTTGAGTCAGTAATAATATCTAACCATCTTATCCTTTAGTCTTTCCCAGCATCAGGGTCTTTTCCACTGAGTCAGCTCTTCACATCAGGTGGCCAAAATACTGGAGCTTCAGTTTCAGCATGAATCCTTCCAATGACTATTTCGGGTTGATTTCCTTTAGGATTGATCTCCTTGCAGTCCAAGGGACTCTGAAGATATATGATGTTAATACATCATGTTTTATTAATAAGACTAAGAAGGGTTCTTATGGTCAAAAAGATTGCAAACCACTGGCATAGGCAATGTTCTCATTCCTTCTTACTCTAAGCTCTTCCAGCACATAAATCTAAGTCTTATTTAACTCCCACAATTTATCCCTGAATCTAGACCATCTCTTGTTAGCATGACTGCTCAGTCATGTCTGACTCTTTGCAACCCCATGAACTGTAGCCCACCACACTCCTCTGTCCACCAAATTTTCTAGGCAAAAATACTGGAGTGAGTTGCCATTTCCTACTCCAGGGGATATTCTTGACCCAGGGATCAAACCCACATCTCCCATGTCTCCTGCATCATCAGGTGGATTCTTTATCACTGTGCCACCCAGAAGCCCAAAAGGACCATAAAGTAGTACTATAAACAACTCTATGCCTACAAACATGAAAACCTAGATGAATTCTGTCTAAGATATACTCTGCCAAAATACAAATGAGAAGAAATAGACAATCTAAATATATCTAAATCTATTAAAGATACCGGTTAAACAATAACCTTCCAAAAGAGAAAGCACTGGGCCCAGATGAGTTGACTCACGAATTCTACCAAACATTTAAGTAAGAAATTACACCAATTCTCTGCAATCTTTTTCAGAAGATATAAGCAGAGGGAATATTTCCTAAATTATTCTATGAGGCCAGCATTATCTTGATACCAAAAACAAAGTCATTACAAGAAAACTACAAAAAAAAACCCAAAAACCTTCTCATGATCAAAAATCCTCAACAAAACATTAGTCAAATCTAATTCAACAATGTATAAAAAAAATTATACATGCTCTAAGACCACGTGGGATTTCTGCTATGTATGCAGAACTGGTTCAACATTTGAAAATCAATTAGGAGCTTCTTTCCTGTTTTCTTCTAGGAATGTCAAGGCTTCAGGTCTTTTGTTTAAGTATTTAATTCATTTTGGTTTAATTTTTGTGAGTGGTGTAAGACAGGTTTTCCATTTCAGTTTTCTGCATGTGGTTAGTCAGTTTTCCCAACACCATTTATTGAAGAAAAATAGAGTGTTCTTGTCTCCTTTGTCAAATATCAACTGATTGAATACATAAGTGTTTATTTCTAGGCTCTCTATTCTGTTTCATTGTTCTATGTTTTTATTTTTATGCCAATACCACAATGTTCTAATTACTATAGTTTTGTGTATAGTTTGAAGTGTGATGCTTCTGGCTTTGTTCTCAGGATTGCTTTGGTTATTTGAGGTCTTTTGTGATTCCATATAAATTTTAGGACTACTCTTTTATTTCTGTGAAAAATGACATTGGAATTTTGATAGAGATCTCATTGAATCTATAGATGGTTTTGGGTAGTATGGAAATTTTAACATTAATTCTTCCAATCCATGAACATGAGATATCTCAATTTTGTTTATGTCTTCTTTAATTTCTTTCTTCAAAGTCTTAGAGTTTTCATTGTACAGATCTTTCACTTCCTTTGCTAAATTTATTCCTAGGCATTTTATTGTTTTTGATGCTACTGTAAATGGGATACCATAAAATTCCTAGAAGGAAACATAGGGAAGAAACTCCTTAACATGGGTGTTAACAATTTTTTTGATTACGACAGTAACAATACAAGCAACAAAAGCAAAAATCAACAAATGATGGTACATCAAGCTACAAAGCTTCTGCACAGCCTGTAGAGAAAACGACTGGTAGGTGACATATTTCCCGAACTTCCCCGGTTCTGACCCATCAGCTCTCCCTCCCAACAGCGCTCTACAGTCTTATCTCCTAGCCGAGGCCCAATCAGAGAGAGAGAAGCCTTCAGTCACTCACCAGTTATCATCAGCAAGGTTAACAGGATACACTTCATGGTGACGCCTGAATCTTGTCCTGAGGATAAGGTTGTAGTGGAAACAAGCACAGAGCAGGAACAGAACTTATAAGCCACTCAGGGATTCTCAACAGCAGGATTAAGTGCAAGTGAGAGAACTGGGATGTGGATTCTATAAGTCTGTCATTTAGAGACTGCTTCTTCCAGTCTTGATCCTTGGTAAAAAAGGATTCATTAGTTACACCTGCCAACTCTCTCAGTCAATTAGCACGGAAATCCTAGCAGTCTAACTGATCTCTGCCCTATGAGAAGATGAGTTTCAGGGGTCTGAGCTTTATCCCTTATCTAAGGAAGTAAGAACCGAGTGACCCTTCTGGGGTATTAAAATTCATCCCAAGTTCTTTCCCTAGCTTCTCAGCTCTTTTCACCAGTTCCTTCCCCACCAAGTCTAACTAGCACCCTCCCTCTACATGTCCCATTGACCCTCTGCTTTCTGGGCTGCTCCGGCGAAGCAGAGCTATGTCCCCACCCTTCTCTGTGACACGGACTCCCTTCTCCTTTATTCATGTCACACTCAGCTCACCCCTCCTCAGAACCGCTTCACTTGTACCGGCTGTATTCACAAATACCATAGGAAGAAAAGTTCTCAACCAACACCAGCACTAGAGGCCCCCGTCAGATCTCCAAATCTGTTCCCACTACACTGCCCTCTGGGACAGCAGTACTGTTCCCACCACGCCGCCCTCTGGACAGTACTCTTGTTCACTCACTCTCTCCTTTCTCCATGGCTGCCTTATTTAAATGGATGTTTTGGCAGCAAATACAAGTGTGAGTGAAAGTCACTCAGTCGTGTTCCTACTCTTTGCGACCCCATAGACTATACAGTCTATGGAATTCTCCAGGCCAGAATACTGAAGTGGGCAGCCTTTCCCTTCTCCAGGGGATCTTCCCAACCCAAGGGTTGAACCCAGGTCTCCCACATTGCAGGCAGATTCTTTACCAGCTGAGCCCCAAGGGAAGCCCAAGAATACCGGAGTGAGTAGCCTACCCCTTCTCCATCAGATCTTCCCAACCCAGGAATTGAACCAGGGTCTCCGGCATTGCAAGTGGATTCTTTACCAACTGAGCTATGAGGGAAGCCCAAATACAACAAGGATATTACTTAAGTAGAAAATCTTGTTAGATGGCAGAATGAAACAATAATAGATTTAGAGTCGCTTTAAACCTTAGATATGAGGCCTTAGATAGATATTAGGAATGAGGCCATGGACAGGTATATCTCCATGTATATATATGTATGGAATCTATAATAACTCTAATAAAGAACTTAATGATAAGAAATTTACAAACACAAGGAAATGTTGAATATCATACATATACATACATATTCATAGGATTCTAAAGTTATCTTTCACAAAGAGAAACTTTAAGAACACTGTCAATATCAGACAGCAATATCTCAAAACAAAAAGGGAAAAAAATGAAATTGGCAAACAAAAGGAAACATTCAAGGGCTAATGTATCATAAAAAAAGTTATTTATTGAAACAAGAAAATTAACACTTGAAAGTAGTTTTGTAGGTCTGCAAATAAGTGTGTGGGGTGGGCAGGCAGGAGTGGGTGGCAAAGAGGGGATGAGAAGAGATGAAATGAGGTGATGTCAAGGGATCTCCCTAAACCATGCTAGGGGTCATTCTACAGTCAGTAGGGAACTACTCAAGAGTTTTAAGAAAGAGACTAATACTCTCTCACCTACAGTTTAGGAAAGACATCTGAGTGAAACAATGTTAAGTCAAGCAATAGTAGGCAGACACATGCATTAGTTCAAGTGAGTCAAGATTATGGCCTGGAGTAGGGTGACAGCAGTGAGAATGGAAAGACATGGATGGATTTAAGAGATTTGGGGAAACAGGATGGACTTTGGGATTGAGTGGTCAGAAAGAGAGAAAAAAATTTAAAGTGAAAGGTAGAGTTGTCTCCTAAAAGGAGGAAAACAGGCAGAAGATTGAATTTGAAAAGCTAGAGGAATAAGGAGTTTAGCTTGACAGGCTAAATTTCAGGAGCTGAAAGGAGATGCAAACAGTGGTTCCCAGGAAGCAGTCGTGTATGCGTGACCAGAGCTCTGGGATACAGATACCAATGTGAAGCTCATCAACAGGCAGCAGACCCCAGTGCCAGCTTCTCCAGAAAATCTGCTTTTCTGCTCTCAGTCCTCACATCCCCAGACAAACTCCCTTCCTGGCCCAGAATCTTTCCAAAAGAACCAGGAAAAACCACCCGGCAGTAAAGTCTCTCTCTTTCTCAAATTTTTAACCTCTATTTAACTAATCCCACCCCCACCACAGAAAACCTTCCACAACTCCATCTTGTCCAGGAATCTCAAGTGTATTTCATAAACGAGCCGTAGTCCCAGTGTGGCTGTGTTCACTGTGAGGTTTAGGAAAGCATGTGCCATGTTAATGTTTTAAAACTGATTTGTTTTTGGTGGCGCAGGGTCTCCGCTGCCACGCGCGGACCATCTCCAGTTGTGGCAAGCGGGGGATGCTCTTCCTTGTGTGTCCAGGCTTCTCACTGCAGTGGCTTCTCTGGCTGCAGACACAGGCTCCAGGCACGCAGGCTTCTGTAGCTGCGGCCTGCGGGCTCTAGAGCTCAGGCTCAGTAGTTGTGACGCAGGGGCCCAGCTGCACCAAGGCACGTGGGATCTTCCCAGAGCAGGGATTGACCCCATCTCCCCCGCACTGGCAGGCAGATTCTTAACCACTGGACCATGAGAGAAGTCCCTATGTTAACTTTTCATTCCACACTTCAGGAAATTTGTGTGAGGGACTGTATAGTTTTCCAGGATTCATGAATGCTGGCTGATGAGCTGAAGCCTGGAGAATGTGGCTAAAAAGTGGTGGGTATCCAGTAATAAAATATAGATGCTGTACTTCTAGTTTTTCCAGCCATGTGTGATTTTGAGAAAATCATTTAAATTCTTTGTTTTGGTCCTGTCACTACAGATCAGGAGAAAAGAATGATACCAGCCCTGCCTCATCTTTCCAGGGTTGTTGTGACACTGGAATAAGACTATGAGTTTAGGAAATTTTCAGGGGTAAGAATGATACAAAGCTTACTTAATTTTGTATCTCAGATTAACCTGATATAAAATCACGACTAACAATGCCTGTAAAGAAATTTGCTCAGTGACTGGGATGCAGTAAATGTTCACAGAATGTTGGCTACTAGCATCCAGGCTCTTTGTGTTCCCAATTATCCAAGGATGACATGGCAGTCTATTATTGGCTGACCAATCTCTTCATTAGGTAAAAAGCACTTAGAGGTCCTGCCAACCATTCAGTAGATCCTAGATCTAATGTAATCTAGAATGTAAATCATTCCCTGACTGTCAAAATGACTGCTCAATGAATGCTTTACATTTACCCATTTCCTTAGCTCAGACCTGCTGATCACAATAACCAGGCCAAGCTGGTGATGACGGCAGTGATGAAATACTGACCCCAGGGAAAGATGAAGCTAATGTAACAAAGAGGGGAGGGGCTGAAGAAAAGTATAAGTAGGGGCTTATTATATTAGGGGGCTTATATATTAGGGGGCTCAGAGCAAACCTGGGCACACCGTCTTCCTGAACTAAGGTGCAGAATCCTGTCCCCCACAGCCCTGGCCTGAAAAACTCCATGGGGACATAAGCCCTAAGCCTGCAGCTCCCTTTCCCACAGACAGCTGAACTGCTTTTGGGCAGATGGGCTTTTAGGGACAGCAAACTGAGGGACCAGGGTCCAGAAGTCCAGTCACGAAGCTTCCTTGTCTTTCTGTGAGAGGCATAGCCCCCCACCTTCCCTGGAACAGAAGGGCCTCCATCTGCCTGTTGGAGCCCTCGTCCCCTGTTGTGTTCATGCCCAGAGCTGCTTTTCAACCCTCCTGCCTAACCATACCCACTGGTTCTACTAGGTGTTCCAGAGAAACTGCTGAACTGGGAGCTCCATACTCTGCTGATCTTCTGCCCCTCTCAAAGGGAGACCATGAAGTTTACCTTCTGTTTGAGTGTCCTTGCTGGTATGTATCCAGGATTTTCTACTCTGTCATATAAGGCATAGGTTAATATAGAACGGAGGAGGACAGATGCAGGATGTGGGGATGGTGCAAAAGAGAGTCAAGAGAAACTGTCAGGAGCAGCACTGGGGATCCCCCTCAGACTCTAGCCACAGGCTCTCTGGACAGGCTGAGAAGCCCAGTGCTAAGCCTGGGGGGTAGGTTATGGTGTATGTCTGCCTTGGAGAGCTCCACGCTCAACACTCAACAGTGAGTGTTCCACCTTGGTTATTCCAAAATACGGGCTTCATCACACAGGGGCAAGTCTCAAGCGTAGTCACAAGGACAGAGAACTCATTCTGACGACTGATATGCCTCCCTGTTGCAAAAGCTTAGAGACTCAGAATGCGGGGAATGGAGAAGATGGGAACAAAAGATCAAATGCAGGGACCCTCCATCCTCTACTCCCTGACTATCATGAAGCTCTTCTGAATTCTCCAGAGCGGCCTTTCCCACCACACCCTGACTGCCTAGGTTGCTGCATCACAAATTAGCTGCGTGAGCTTGGGCAAGTTAATCTATCTGGGCTTCAGTTTCTACAGTCCAAATGGGAATGTTCCTACCTACATTATAGAATCATTGTGAAGATTTAGAACAAGAGTGCACTGGCTCTTGTCCTTATTAATACCCCACCCTTTTTTCCTTGGGGTTTCTAACTGTGACTCCGCAGAAAAGGGTATGGTGAGGTACAGGCCTGGGCTTGGAAAGATTTAAAATAAGAACCAAGGGCAGCTGAAGTAAAAACAATATTTCTGATATTAGAATCAGCCTTCCTCCTCTTTCTTCTCTTTTTTTTAAAATAATTCATTTATAAAAGCACTGCACGGTCATACTAGAAAATTGAGAAATATTAAAAAGTATAAAAAATAAACATCATTCATAGTACCACCTCAGTCAACACATGCTAATGAACTGTTTGAATTTATTCCCAGGCTTTATTTTATTTATTTTAATGGCTTATTTTTGTTTCTTTACTTGTTCTTAGATAATTGGATTACTAGATTAAATGTACATTTTTATTATTTTTTAACTGAAAGGTTATTAGTATTCCTTTGCTGTTTAATATTCTTTATAAATGCAGTTTTAATATATATGCTGTTCCCATTTGTTCACATCCCTTTGTATTTCAATATCCAACATTACTGTATTGGACATTCATATTTCATTTACCTATTACAAGAAAGAAAGAAAGTGAAGTAGCTCAGTCGTGTCCATCTCTTTGCAACCCTGTAGCCTACCAGGCTCCTCCATCCACAGGATTCTCTAGGCCAGAATACTGGAGTGGGTTGCCATTTCCTTCTCCAGGGGATCTTCCCGACCCAGGGATAGAACCCAGGTCTCCCACATTGCAGGCAGACTCTTTACCAGCTGAGCCACAAGGGGAGCCAAAGAATTACCTATTATAAATAGTGTTAAAATGA